CATAATCCTAATAATTTGCAAGTAAAGGTGACAGCACGCAAGACAAGGCTTGTTCTCCTGGAAGTATTTTTGTTTTATTTTGCTTTCATTTCTGTTACAAAAATGAATAAATAAAATGATAAAATCTCTCTAAATTTTCCAGGATTTGTATTCCCATACTGGTGACCATTTGCGTAGCTGCCTGGATATGCAGAGAGAGGGATATGAGGGATTGACCCTCCAAAAAGCCATCAGTGCAATGCCCTGCACAGGTCAAATAATGACTTGTTGCAAAGTTGACTCGAACAGAAAAGAGAGCAAGAGCAAAGCTCACCATTAACAAGGGGAAGTGTGAAAAACATCAAAGATTAAGAGGAAAAAAACAGGAGAAGCTCAGAGAGTAGCTGCACTGGATAGTTTCCATTCGTATTTGATAATCAGTTTCCTTCACTACAAACTTCTTTGCATGTTATGACTTCTTTCTCTTCAGCTGCAGGGGCAAAGCTACAGAGCTAACAAGTAGCCGAATCAGGAAAAATAGCAGTTGACATTTCTGGTTATTCAACCTATTTTTGCCTGGTGACCGTAGACAACTGTTATACACAGACATGGGTCTACAAAGCTCTGCCTGGCACCTATGAACTACCATCACACTAACATGCAGGGTGCTTTAGTGATTGTCTGTTTCTTGCTACTGTTCTTACATCACATAGCAAGAGTGAAATTTACACTCCTAATGTCAAGCACTGACCTGCGTTCTGGTGTGACTGCTGTCCATCAAGTGGGTAAATCACATTTACATTGTCTTTAGTCTTTATTTTGATGCCAAAAAATGAGTTACCGTAATTTAAAAGTTGACTTGAGAGGCAAGTTCGAGCCTTCTATGCTTTTCCATTTCTCTGCACCTAATTTTTGCACTGTGTATTTCAAAAAACTACAAATACAGTCAAACCTAAAGACCTCTTTGCAATCAAATTTGCTCTGTAGTCCTCCATAATCCATTTTTTGGGAATACATTGTGACATTAAGGAAAATAATCTACCCATATGTCTGCATATTGCAAACATTTGCTGCTATTTATATGGCAAGCTGTGAACTGGTTGTCTGCAGCTTTGTTGTCTCATTATGCACATCAGGTGTGCTGCTCGGGGCTCAACACCACCAGTGGTTCTCTATAAATATGGAATCCCACCATGCTCTGAAACACAAAGACCAAATGAGGAACAATCACATAATGCACACAGTGCATGGCAGCAGCAAGCTGCTCTCCACAGGTAGCTCCATTTTATTATCAGTACTGTTGAGAATTTAAAAAAAAGACCTCTTTGAATTCAGAAGCTTCAGAAACCCATGTCTGACAAACAGTGTTCATTTTTCACAAATGTTTTGACTTCAGAACAGGATATTATTTCCTTCACATTCACAATGTCAGACCATGAAAAACTCACCTCTCTGGACTCTACATTATGCAGCAGCAAACTCTTACTTCTCATTCTGATAGTGCACTGCATTAATGCGAAACATTAAACTTTCCTGTTTGTGCCTCATTTATCTACATGCTTCTAAACTTTTCATCCCCAAATGCTCAAGGTTGTCAAATCAGGTGTCCTGATTAGACATTAAGCTTGTGAGATATTTAAGACTGGTAATGTTGATATGATTTTAATTTAGCAGCTCATTAAGATTTTGCCTTTTATAATGAAAGTGTTCAGTCTTTTTCATAGTTGCAAGACACTGAGGTTTTGGAGTCATAAGTGCTGATAATGCAATTCTTGCATAAATTGGACTTGGAAAAAATGTTCACTGCTAGTCCTATCTAATTTCATAGAAACAACTATTTATAAATAGCATGTTACCACCTGAAACCAGAATTGTGACTCTAAAGGTTGTTAGTCCATATTGTCACAGTTAGGAAAATATTTCCTGTCGCTGCCCTTATCCATGACATTTTTGTTAAAACATGTGTCACCGGCCGTGCGCAGTCTCATTATATGCACATTTTTTCTCAAAAGGTGAACATATCAGGCTGAAGTAAAACTTCACATCTACCGCGCTCCATATTTCCAGTGACTGCAGCAGTTCATTAAGATTTTGACTTGATAGAAGTAGTTGATGGTGATGGCGGTTGTGTAGTACAGAAATGAAGACCATATGATAATTTAATCTTTAAATAAAGTGCTTCCATAAAGGGGTTTGGCTGAAAGGCTGACACAAATATGTAATACCTGTGTTCTAACCAGTTTGTTTTAGCTTTTTCGAAGATAATCATTGCAGTGAGTTTGTAGGGGCTTAACATCAAAATGGTGAAATTACTGTGTTTAATTGAGTTGTAGATACCAGTTTAGCTTTGAATACAGTTACAAATTCTCATTATCATACTCAAACTTTGCAAACAGAGGGAAAATTCTAGGAAACTAAAGCGAGAACTTATAGGTAATGGCATAAAAATCAGGAATAGCTAACCCACCAATCCAAACTACCACTGGTGGCTTGTCATAAATTAATTAGGATACACTTTTTACTCTGCAAAGATGAAAAAGCAGAATCCCTCTTCTTCCCGCTAACAGGTCAAATGTGCCGCTCTGCAGGCCTACTTGTTGTTCCTAGAGTATTTAAAAGTAGAATGGGAGGGAGAGCCTTCAGTTTTCAGGCCCCTCTTCTGTGGAACCAGC